TTAAGACTGTATCTGTATATCATGACATCAAACATACAACAGAGTAAAAGAAAGAAATTAAATTCTTCAGTAATACTTCGTATTCAGTTCTTGATGAGAAGCCTCAGCAGTGCTGGGAAATCTCTTAAGTTCCACTCAGACATACTATCTTTCGTATCACAGAGAAACCTTGAAGTTTTGAACCTTAAGGCCGATTTTGTGCATATCTTGTTTTTTATGATTTGTATTATAACGGTCCCCAGTCAAAAACAGGTCACAGTTACCCATGATGAAATGCAAACAGTGAATAAAATATGCTCCATGCCCTGAGCATCTTACAGTGACTTGTACCGTGGTATTATACTTTTTAAAGGAATCACCTTGGTTATTAGTTTCCTTTGATGGTATAACACCGTATTAGACCACATGTTTTCTATCTAAGCAAAAGCCAAAACTAGAGTGATAACTTTAGTAAATTAAATGTGTAATTCTTTCCTTGCTTCTCACTCAGAATAAAGTGGAAACTGGGCCTGAACTCGCTAAAAGAAACATAATATATTACAGGGACAATATGAAGAACCATGAGGACAATTAATTAAACAAAATGGTAGATTCTTTATCCAGGCTACCTCTCAATTAGGCTTGACTAATTTTGTAAATCCCTGTTCAGCTGCGATAACGCGTAAGGCCAAAAAGAGACTCTCTATAGGGGTTATTCTCTTTTCAGTACGAATATGTCAACATGAAGGGAGCTCTTCTCAAGCGTACCACATTCATGGCATTGATCGTGTACCTTCATCAGTTTTTGCATATCCATTCAGCGAATTCCCAGGCCCAGACTGATACTCAGGAATCACAGACACTTCATATCTTGTATCTGGAATCAAGTTCTGTAGAGTAGTTGATCTTTCATTTGATGAAACAGTCACTTGTCTCCTTTCTCCTCCGGTAAGCGGTCGATATACAAGCCTGTACCGCAGAACGTTCCCTGGGGCTGGAGTCCAGCTAACTATAAAGCTATCAGTAGTTTCATCTGTTATCTTTAAGTTTCGAGGAGCACCTTTAACTACAAAAGATACACATACATAATTTGTAAATATTTGCCTTCAATCAAGCAGTATCTGAAGTGAAACCACTCTAACCATTCTATTAATTCATCCTATCGCCAAAACCACAGCTTAACGTTATAAAAAGTGACTTGCACTTCTGCAGTGTCAGATTTTGGATGGACAACAATATATACCTTCTGTGGGTTTGGTTACCAGACATGGGGTGCAAATCATAGTGCCCTCCCACTGTTTTTAAGGTAAAGTCAAACCATTAGACATTTCTGAACATTTAGAGCCAGAGTTACAAGCAGCAGTGTAGCAAAGTTGTCCCCAAAAGTACATTAATCCCAGTTTATACAACCACTTCTGCAACTCAGATAGTCTGATATTGTTTAACAGCAACAGTAGAACTGAACTGTATAAGGGACATCTGGGCACACTGTGAGGAAACATCTGAACACAGGAAATCTTAGAGGTTTCACGTTGTGGCCATTTGCTTTTGCATCATCTCCATTTATAAACAGTTGTCAGATGCATCTGACTGCACACAGGCAACCCTCCAATTTTAAAGAAACAACTAAGGTAAACGCAACAGGAAAAAACCTTCCAAAGTAATTTCATTTCTTTAAGTTAAATTTTCCCAACCAGAATACATTCACTGCAATATGAGTTTAAAAAAAGAATTCTGAATAAAGTCTCCACCTTAAAGGCAAGTAATAGCTTGTTATCCTAGCGGGCAAGAAAAAAACATGGTGTACCTTTTAACCTAGCCTGCTCCTTTACAAAAAATATGGCTACAGCTCAGGCCATTTCATAATGAACTCAATGGGGACACCGAAGCAGGATTTAACTCCTCCCCCATACATCAAAATCAAAGGTATTAAAAATTGCCTTGAAATAAGCAGCATTATCTTTTAGGCAAAAAAGCTTTTGGTTTTCATAGTTCCTATCTACACAGAGTATAATTAAATTGGAACATCATATGCTAGAAATATTGTTCTTTGGTGTTCAGTCACGGACCTATTAAGAGTGGAGCAATTAATAATCCCAGTTTTAAAGAAAATAACTTTGTTTTCCACTGATCACAATCACAATGCTACTTTTAAAACTCTTTAAAAACCTAAAGCCAACATTAGTTGCCAAGAAGTAACCCAAATTGTTAGCCAGATCTGCATGGAGAGATGCCGACATCTACATGATTTTAGAAGAAGTTGGTCTTCTCAGACACATTTGGATTTCATCGGATCAAGATGCCTACAATTATTTAATGTGCAGCAGTTACAATATAGGAATACTGTTTATTGTTATTAAAGCTGCTCCTTCTCCTGTCCCTTACATTTACAAGTCACATATTCTATCAGCCAATAACTCATCTGTTTTCCTTAGGGAAAGTTATGTGTGGCAAAAACATTCTGACTGCTGCAGTCATGGAAATATGCACACCACCAGCAAAACCGTTATCTCCCAAACTTACCATCCAAACTAAGCTGTTTTATAAATGTGTATTTTTATCAATCCTAAGAGGAAAGACCAATTAACAAATTTCCACGCTATTTCTTTTGCTTCCCTGGAATCATTTACATCACCAAAAGTCAAAAATGACAGCATAGACTAATGAAAAAGAACGCATTGATAATAAAAAAAGCATGGATTAGACTGGACCGAGTATCCAACTACTGAAATAGAAAATCAAATTTACTGAGACCCTTCTCCTTTAAATTAATGGAAGTGCATCTTGGCAACTCTTCCAAGAAAGAGTCCTGCTACCATGCCTAAACTTATAGGCATTGCTCACATAAACTCCAACTGGCGTCACTGAAAGTTTTGAATCAGTAAGAGTTATAGGAGTCTGACCCATGAAGTCCTGATGAGAAAAAGCTGACTAAAAACTAAGCCTCCTATAAGGCTATGGGATATAAAAACAGAATTTCTATTAATGTAAGTTACAGATGTAGATACAGCAAACTATATAGTTACATGCTTGATTTTAAATGTATTGAAGTCAACATGGATTCCCTGTGTGATACTCATAATTATTAAGTGTATATTAATACATGCCAATGAATTTATTATTTACAGTGCCACACTTCATTAGAAAAGAGGCTACTGCAGAGAAATACGGCATTCAGCTGACTTTTACGGAAAATAAAATCCAATCTTAACAATTTAATGTTGGCCTATTATTGGAATTTTGTATCTTTACTAAACATATTCAAAGCCAGTGATGTTTATTCTCATCCCCCATACCAGTACAGCTTCTCCACACCAGCTGGTTGTTCCGCGTGCACATATTCTCTCAACTAAGGAAATTCTTCCTTAAACGCATGATTTTTTTGTGTCTGTGAGTAATGGAAAGTGTACCTTCTAAAGTGGTTTCCTCTCCATCCAAGGGAGGGCCATCACCATCTTCATATTCAGCAATCACACTGACTGCATAAGTAGTCTCAGGTAGTAAGTTGGTGAGAACTGAGCTACTACTTGAAGCTGGTACGGAAACAATGAATTCATCTCCACCGACAGCTACTTTATATTTAATGAGATAAGACAAAACTTCAGATCCAGCTGGAGACCAGCTCACTTTGAAACTGTCAGATGTTACATCAGAAAATACCATATTCTTTGCAGGTATGTAAGCTGTATGGAAATAAAAATGCACAGATGAGGCATACTTGCTAGAATATTTTTTAACACAAAATCTCTAAAATAAGCCAAAAACATCCCTCAATTACTTGATTTATTCTGAATGAATAGATATTTTGTTGTACGTGCCACAATAGTTGTTTTCCATACTTGCTTATAGCTATCAAATTTCATGAAGATCATATCTAGGTTGTCTCAGATCATATAACAATGAGTAGAAGCACCAACTCAGTAATTTCTAGATCAAATGAGAGCAGATCATCTAAAAAAAATTTGCTCTTTTCAGATCTGAAAACTTACTTAATTTAGAAACTGATAATCAAGTTGGTTCCTCTCTTTTGTACGTCCCATGAACAGCAATAACATTATGCTCTCAGTGGGAACCCAGAATCCTTGGTTTTTTGCAGAGCTAAATTAGGAATAGGACAAAGTGAATCCCAGTATTTTTTCAGGAATGGATTTAGAAGGAGAAACAAGGAACTTGACATGAGGCACAAACACAAACCTGACATCCCAGGCTTGTTTTGGTTGGCCTAGTCAGCCTAACAGTGGGGATGTTAAGACTGCTTGAGCCCTCTAAAACAAAGGCTGCTTTGCTGGTTTGTTCCTCAAAGCTATCCTGAAACAAAAGGCTTATTTTTAAAGAGAGTGGGGGTTTCAATGCTGGGGCTATTCAGTGTTAGTGTTCTACTAAATGCAAGTACGGGCACTGAGGGTGCAACTAATCATAAGTAACTTTAGCTGACCAAAAGCTAGTCATCTACACATCCCTTAAATATTAGACAGTAACTGAGCTCCACTATATTTGGAAGCTTTTGAAGACTTTCATGTGCTAATTCATTTCAGACTTTACAGTTAGGATGAGATTAATCTCACCTCACATTAGCCGTCTAAAATTGTCTTGTCTAAGCCCATCTATACAGTTGATGAGGACAGATGGCCAGTTTCAGAGGGCCCTTCATTTCACCCTAAAAATTAATCAAATTACCCTTTCAAGGTGGCAGCTTTACTCCATTGCCTCTAAAATTCTAAAAGACAAGCTTAGACTAGCTACCTCATTTTGGACAGCTAAAGGAGAATGGCCCTAGTAAGTAACCACTTGACTCATGAAGATATAACTGAATCTCCTTTACAGCAGTGTAAAGCAGAGCACATCCACTGAGGTCACTCCAGATTGACATACACTAATAATTTCCTAGACACCTAAAAGGGGAGGAAAGAAAAATACTTCTCCAGTAATTGTTTTCGTCTCCATTTCTCCACTAATCTTCCCCCATTGCTTTCAATATGATTGAAAATGAGAACCCGATCCCCAGCTATTAAAATTATCATTTATACATGGTCGATTTCATCAGCATCAACTGTTGTATGTAACTATAACAATAAAACCTTGTTCAAATTATTTTCTCTGCGTCTCTTGCATTTCCCTAAGTAATAGTTGTTACTTACATTTTTTCCTTATAGCAGCCAGTTCCTGTTCAATCCGTAGGCAGACAGACTGTGTGAGTTCAAATGATATTCTTTGGA